AGAGTTTGTATCATTCTCCTGATAACTTTTAAGAAGGAGTTGAGGCAGATAATGCTCTGTTACTCTGGAGTTGTTGGCTTCATAGGCCCTGGTCGCTGTAATCCAGAGGTTAGACCTCTTCATGAGGCAAGTGCTGCCAGAATACTTGCTGCTGAATGGAAAACCCAAGGTGCCATCCAAAAAATTCAAGTGCAGATTCAGAAAATACATACTGAGAAATGGACCCTGGTATTCCTGATTACTTAACCACCTTTGTTCCCAAACTTGTACAGCTGCTCTGAAATAGAGCTGTGAATTTTTACACATAGATGGTGAGGGTATCACCCTAATGGTGTTGCTCTGCTGTCTCAACAGCTAGTGTTTGTCTTCATATTGCAAAGGTCCACTTGTTTCCTGGAAAGGAGCAGATGTGCTTTTCTTTTCTGTTCCTACTGCCATGAGCTATTCCTGTGCCAGGATAAAGTACAGCATCAGGCTTCTTCAGTTGTGGGATATTTGTTATTGACCCTGCTGTCAAGGCTACACATAATAGTGGAAAGGGACAGAACAAGAAATCTCCAACACAGATCTGAGTGCCCCTTTGAGCACATGTGGGTCATTCAGTTATATCCCCGCTATGCTACATAATTTCTCTCAGAAAACCCTTTTAATAACTGTATTTAGTCTGGTTTTGAACCACTTGTTTTGCCTTTTTTTTCCCCACTGGAGCCTGCTTTGGCATTTCACTTCTGTGATGGTTTGAAAACTTCCCAGCCTAAATTTTCTTCTGGCTAGTTGATGACCTACTCTTACACAAACATCAACACTGGCCTTTCACTTAAATATTTTTTTTCCTTCCTTGGTGTTTGCCCTCTTGATGTATTTTTTGGGCAGCAGTTCTGTCATTTCACAATTGATCTTTGTCAGCTAGAGAGACCTGGTTCCTTTGGTAGTATTTTGTGTGACAGGCTCACCAGTCTTCTGATCATCTTAGGGATGGTGCTACTCTTCCACTTTGAATTTGCATTGATCAGGATCAGAATTAAATTCAGCATTCCAGATGGGGTCTCACTGTTGCCTTAGGTGAAGTCCAACATTCATCCTATATGTCTTAATATTGGCCTCTTCACAGCTGCACTGCAGTTATGCTGTCATTTATTAACATACTCATCACCTTCCCCTCAGCCAGCTTTGGTGGTTAGCCTCCCCAGTAAAAGCAAAAACTGTTGTTAATACACAATAGGTGCATCTCATCTCTATTACTGTGGTCCCGCAAACAGGTTTTTCTATATCTTTTTGTTGACTTCTGATGATTTCTGGATTTTAATTGGAAAAAAATCATGAGAACACTCTGACTTCTTGTGTCAGGGTCATTAAAAATATTAAAAAGCATGGATCCCAGGATACATAGAGGAACATTTTTACTAGTAATCCTCAGCTTGATGCCTCCCAGTTTTGCACGTTATTGATGCTGTCCTTTGGCCAGTTCTGTATTACCTTAGGACTTTCATACTAACTCCCATCTTCTGCATCATAAATAATAATTTCTCATGTGGCACCATAGGCCATCCTTTGTCCAGAAAATAGGCTTTCAAAAAAATGTCAGGTTTTGTTTGATTGATCTATTTTTATGATACACACTGCTGGGCTTTTTTCTGGTCATGTTTTCCTCCATATCTTTAGTCTTTACTTTTGCGTATTTAAATCTTCCAATTGATGGGGTTATACTGTTTCAGATCTCTTTTTCTGCCTCACATGGGCCTTGCATTTGTTATTTTTCAGCAGATGGTACTATCCTTGTTTTCATAACGTAGGTTTTAGTTATGTATAGATCCAGCAAGAAAAATGACATTCTTTCCAAACCTGGGCTGAATATGATTCAGCCTCCCTGTGGCTCCTTGGTCCAGGCCTGGTGCATATTGGGTAACTACTGTTTCCATCATTTCATTCTTTAAGTTGTTTTTTTGCTCCTGTATTAAGTATCATTAAAACCAAGGCAAAATATACTCAGTTGTGTTTGGGACATAGATTTGTTAGTTTTCACATCTTGGTTGATTTATACTACGTCCACTTATTTTCTCCTTGTTCACTTTATTTGTGACTAAAGTCTTGTCTGAATTTCTGATTCCTTTTCCTGTTCTTTTACAATGCTCTGCATATTTCTCAACCCTCTTTGAAACCTATCCACTTGTGTCAGACGTTCTGCCCTCCTTGTTTTTCCCTTGCTTTAGGATACAGAAGGGTTTTGCTCCTTTGCTTCTTTTGACTTAATGAAATTCCAAGATCTTTTCTGATCCGAGTCCACCAGCTCTTTGGTTTATCTCATTGCTAGTTTTCTTCATTTCTGAAAGGCTGCTCTTCTAAAATGGAAAACCTTGTTAAAGACCTTATTTGGTTTATCCTGCCATTAATTGAAATTGAATAATTCATGGTTGCTCAGACTGAGATTTCATTGTTGTTTGGTTTTTTGAGACTAATTTTGGTGCCTACCTCTGCTGCTGGCATTTAGATTGCTCATGTAGGAACAGAATGAAATTCGTATTATTCTTCATGTCACTGCTACATGGAGAGTTCACAAATGCGGCAGTGAAGGTAGGTAAAGCTTTAAGCACTAAGACGAATTAATAGCATTGTGGATTACTGCCAGGTAAGGAGACTAAAATGGCATCTCTTCACAATGAGAAGATTATTTTTGCAACTCTGAGTCCAAAATGCTATTCTATCTGGAAGCTTGCACTCAGCAGAAGTTAGTACTGTCCATTGTCCGTCATAGGGAACTCTTCTTGTTTTGATGGTAATGGGCAATTAAACAGTTTTTTCAAGACCTGCCTTTTTCATTGGTTACATATGCAGCTATAGTGTTAGGACTGTGTGTAATAAACAAATGCCAAAGGGGGTTTGTGGATCAGTAGAATTCTGTTCCTTTCCATGAGATGAACTCAGTGATTTCTCTATGGCTATTTGTGATGTCCCAACAATAGGGCTGGTACATGTTTTCCATCCTCCTGGGAACTGCAGCAGAGAAGTCCAGGGTAACACTGCCCTAGACATTTATCATAGTCCTGGTTGGTTGTAAGATCAGTTAATTGGAGCATTGATATCCCTCTTCCTTAGCTGATCCATAGATAATACCATTACAGTTTTTAAAATGGTCCCTTATCCTGCCTGAACAGTTTGCAGTCAGATAAGAGCTTCAGTTTGTCTCCTAAGTGTTATGCAGCTCCATGCATTGCATATTAAAAATAGATTTCATGAACTGCAGATATACACGTGTCATTCATTTTTGGAGCTAGTTTAAAGTTACAGGAACATGTAGATTTGGTGTTCCAGCCCAGGCAATGAATTGTGCAGTTTATCTCAAGGGTAGTATGAGCATGAGTTTCCACATGTGCTGTCTTGCCCCACATGCTGATTTGTAAGAATTTATTTTCTTTTCCAGGATAGCCAGAATAAATGGCACCTGTTGTTTGCAGTTTTGCCCTCTCCAATGTCTTCAAACCTCTCACTTTTCATCTCAAAAAATAGGCAAATATTGCTTGCCTTCTGTAAGGTGAAAGGCATGAAACCCCAGCTGAAAATGATTGTAAATTCTACAAAAATGTCAAGAAGAAAAGCGAGAACTAAGCTAATATGACTTGTAGTATGTAGTTTGGGGGATCTTGCCTCGTATGAATGAAATCTGTCTCTTTCACTCACTCCTAGTCACACTTGCAACTGCACAAGTGTCATATATGCTGTTTAATGCCTGGCAGTCTTCTTCAATTGGGATATCTATTATTCTGGCACTTTTCTTGCAGATTTGAAGCCCTGATTTACATGGAGAGAACCACCTTTTTTTGGTCCTCCTCAGATATTTATGAATAGAAGCACTATTTTTTAGCTTATACTGTATCTATAATAATCTACCACACATTGGTCTCTGTTATTTCTTTCACCTGAGGCTGTTTTTCTGCTGTTTGTATAGTTTTCTTATAGATCCAGTTAGTATTTCTCAAGTGAAACGTTCATTTGGGAGTAGGAGACTGTAACCAAAGCACTTATTTTAATTCCTGTCACTCTCCTCCTTTGTCTTTCTACCTGACAATTGAAAGCCTGAACACTTTCTCCAGCAACCTTATGTTGGAAGAGACAACCTCATATTTATTATACTGCGATAAAAAATGAACAGTAGAACTGAAGTGAAAGGTAACAATTCTCTGTATGGGTAATAGAATAAAACCACATGGCTTGGAGAAAAAAGCAAATAGTTTTGCAATGAGTTGTGTACATCCTTGCAGTGAAAACACAAGTAACACCGTCTGATTTTCATCAGAGCTTTAAAAACATACCAAGTTCTTCTTACTTAAAGAATAAGAATTGTCCAGAGAAAGTTGAGAGATTAGTGGCAGTATCTGGCAGCCTAATGAGGAGCCTTCCCTGCCTTGAATACCCTGCAAGGTGGCCAACTTCTCAGATAAAACTTTGTGTGCCATGAGTCTGATAGTAATGGAACAACAGTTGCTTTTTTCTCATTTACATATTAGAGGGCAAAGTTAATATAATAATTGCAAATAAACTTGCCCTGGTGGCTGGACAGGGCATGGGTATCTAAACATGTACATTTACCAGCTTCATTCTCTCTATGGGTAGGCTAAAATTTGGATGGGTTTTTGTGTCTTGGCATTTGTAGACTTTATTGTACATGACTCTTCATACAGAACCTGATGTAACCGTTGATGATTAATTCTTATAGAGTCAGTGCATGCCTTTTTAACTGTGTTAACCTGGGATTGGGATACCAGGTTTCAGTTTTGGTTGAAGACAATGGAGCATGTTTGCTTACAGTATTTGGTCCTGATTATTTTTAAATGGTGACTGTTTTTCCTGGTCAGTCTGTACGAATGGAATTGCTCTAGAAAAGGAATTTTTTCACTCTAATCTGTTATAATCTGACTCTCAGAAATCAGCCATTTCAGTCTTGACCGTTTCATTTTTATCTTGAAAACAGCCATTATGTCTATAACTAAAGTTCAGTTTGTTTAATGAATGTGTTGCTCTTACAGATAACTTGCCCTGGAGTGCTGCTGAAAGACAAAGAGGAACTTTATCTCAGTGTCTCTGTACTTGGACAGTACAAAAAAACTCAATGCGTCCCTGCAGCGTTTCCACTTTTCTTTCAAGAAAAACTAGTATTTGAAAAGGTAAGATAATGTCAAGAGCTAATACAAGCCAATTAAAACCTATCCCAAACTCCACAAAAACTCACTGCAAAAGCCCTGAGCACAAGTAATCACACTGAGGAAGGCATAGCATTATAACTCTTGCTTCTCTTCAGCGCAAAGGAGGTATGTGCTTGTATTATCCACATGGTGACTCAAGAATTATGCGTACTGAAGATTATAATGCGTAATGAGGCTTTTTAGGTGTTCGTTCATTCTTTTGTGAACTGTCCTTTTTCAGTGTCTGTTTTCCTGGCTTGGAAGGAACTGAATGTTGTTGTTCTAAAAATTATGGTAAGGTGAAGAACAAAGACTATAAGATATAGGAGAGTCAATTTACTAGAAAGATAGAATAGCAGCTCAAGCCTTTTTGGTGACATCTTTCTCCCTTCGAGATACTTTTTTCATGGTTTGTCACCAAAATTCCCAGGTTGGTACTCTGGCCTTATAATTTATAGTTGTTTATCGCATATTCTGAGTCCCTACTAGCTTCATTATTAGTACCACAGGGATAATGAAACACAGTATCTTACAGATATGATCTGGCTTCTTGACTACCTATGAATAATAATACTTTGCCCTTTCTAGTTCTTTTCCTTTAAGCATCCCCCAGCACTTTGAAAACCAGACTGAGTAAACATCAATGATGCTCTGGTGATGTGGGTAAGATACCAACAGTGGTAATTTCACCAGCTACTGAAGAGTAAAAAAGACCATCGTTCTTTAAAGGCAAACGTACCACAAACTGCTTAAGGGAAATGTACTGAATACTGTTTTCATTGAAATTTAGGGGAACTCCAAGACACCAGGATCTACCTGCTTACAAAAGAGATGAACAAAGAAAGCTGAGAACAATATATGTTTTCTTACAAATAGCTATTGAATAGGTTTAGATACTTGTGGAGCACCAGTACTTCAGTATTTTTTAGTGTTTGGTATCTTGAACAGCAAAGTGATCTACACCACTCTGCTGAGACTTGTACAGAATTAGTGGGAAGTCTATTAGCTGCTGAATATGCAGTGCAACATCCTCCCCTATTCCTTGCCATCTATTCACATGGGATTCAGGTTAAAAAAACCCTGAACAGTACTCTGTACGTGAATAGTCACTTCTATGAAAATGAAGTTTAAAGCATTACCAATAGATTAAAGAACATATTCTTCATCTATCAGAATTCTAGTACATTCAGCAATTTATCCTTCTCTCTTGAAATTTTCTCAGACAATGCTCGTCTCTACGTGTTCAACTCTTCACAATACCTCCTAATTTAAATATGGAGAGGTAACCCTGAATAGCTAGAAAGCATATGACAAGAACTGCTAGCTTTCAGTGAATTTGATCATATGCCAAATGATAATTTCAGTTTCCTGTCTTTTTCCAGTGGGGATGGGATTATTGGCAATGATCTGAAGCAAGGAAGAACATTGATTTTTATTTTTTTTCCCCTTCTCTTTCTCCAGAGGTCCATCTGATGACTTTGACTGTGCTATTGTTATTATTATTTATTAATTTCTTTTCCAGGCATTTTCTGATATAGTTGATCCTGGAGACCTTGTGGAATTACTGGAACGTAGGTTCTGCTTTTCATATATACTATGTTGTATGCATTAATGTCATGCATGTATGGGCTCTAAAGACTTTTTGGAGGTTTAAAGTATGTGATCATTTTTCTGTTAGGAGCCTGTTCTCTGAAAAGCTAGTGGGTAACCAATTCTATGATTCTATGATTCTATATAATAGAATAAGTAGGACTTACTAAATAAGTAGGACCTTAGCACTAGTGGGTTTTCAGAACAGAAGATTCGTTGTCGGTGCAGGCAGAGGTTTTTTGCTGTCTTCTGGTTACTGGTAACTTACCCCAAATACTGTTAACTAACAATGCTTCTAGAAATGTATGCTACATGCTTTAGAACAGGAAAAGTGTTAAAAGTCATAACTAATGGAAAATCGAGCTGGCTATCCAGATAGGTAATGGATTCCTTTATCTGATTATTTATTTGATTAATTTTCAAATAGTATAAGCATAAACCTTCAGTTTTTGTAAAATTATTCTTTTCATTTTTTAAGAAAATTATATGTCTTGCCACATGTGGAGCATAATCAATTGTAGTGAGACAACACTGACCCTGAACTCAAGCTCCAGGAATATGCTCCCTCATACTGGGAGTTATCAGAAAAAGTGGCGAAGCTTGCATTATCTTCTTTAAAAGCTATCTTCAAAGGACAAACTTGGCAGGAGATAGAACTTCCCAAGTTCTAAGCCAAATTTAGAGTTGTCATTTGTACACTTCTAATGCCATTGTGTTCACCTGTAGTATTTATGCAAGCTGTTCTTAATTTTCTCTTATTGTTGGTGTAGTGGAAGTAGTGTAGCTATGTACAGTGCTATGAAGCTTAAATCAGTGAGCTGTTTTTCTCGGGTTTTGACTATGACAATTTCTTTCCATTTTAGTTTTTTTTAACTCATGAAAAAACTTCCTTCCTTTCTAGTTGACACAGCAGTACTTGAACTAATACAGCTCGTTCCTCCAGGTATTGTATCAGTCTCTTCATAAATTATGCAGTTTAATAGGTGAATTTCCATGAGGACATTGCCCATTACAGCACAATCACTTTTTCCAATGCACAAACAACATAGAAAGCTCTTCAACAAATAGTCCTCTGAATATAAAATGTTAATAGATCAAGAGGATCTCATTCTTAAAAGAGAGTAATAACTGAATATTGAAATGTACCATACTCAGGCTTAGGAAAGTGATAATATTTTAAAAAATGGAAAATAAACTGAAATCATCCAGTGCACACTTATTAACTGCATCACAATTCACTTGCAAAGTGGCTGTCTGTGAAATTTCAGAGTGCATAATCTTGTTCTCAGAATGACACTTTTTTTCTTTTCATTTTAATGGTGACCATTGGGAAAACTGTTATCCTCGCTATAAGTATTACAGGTCTCTTGGGATATGTGAAGATAATAAATAGCGATTTGTCATACTTCTGTTATTGGTTTGTGTGATTATAAAAATCTATTTTAATGAAATTCAAGTGTTCCCATGAATAATGTAAATCTGCATTTTATTGGAAATAAAGTCAAGTTTTAAAGAGGACTCATTTGGAAACTGAGGTATTAAAAGCACTCTCTGTCACTTGTCCTTAGTACTTTCAAGGAAACGATTGCTTCTCTCAGGTGACTCACCAGACTGTTTACTTAAAGGAATGTACTGAACGTGGATTTTTGTTGTGGGAGGGTAAAAGATCTTGGATAAGGAATTTAATTTCAGGAGTCAGAGAGAGGTGTGATACAGCCCAACATAAGCTGACAAAATGATTGCAACAGCACAATTTACTTTTTTTTTATAAAACACATTCAAGGTTTTCCCCTAAAGAAAACAATTTTTGTTTTAAAAGTAGCAAACCAGGATAGTGAGAAAATCTTGAGATAATAATTTTGATGTTGCTTGCGTTTCTTTCTAACTAGTAAGTCTCGTATTACTGCTACACCTAGTATTACTACTACTATTACTATTCTGTAATACGGAATGATACAGTTTTTCATAAGGGATTGGCTGCCATTAAAAAAAAATACTGGTTTCTTTTGTGGTATGGAAGAGAAAGAAAGAAGAAAACTACTGAAGGTTGCCTAGAAAAAACTTCTCATATGTCTCTTAAAGAAGATTGTGTTAACTGTTCTGTATATTTTTTTTTTTACCGTAACAGTGAAACATACTTTCAGAGTAGATTCTGCACATTTGTGCTGCTGATTTAACTTGATGAGGTTATTCCCTAGTGTGATATGAGTTTTAGAGCCATGCTATTAATTTTTAAAGAAAAAAAAATAATCTTAGTTTCAGTATGGTCTTGTGTGTGGCATTTGTACTGTATGGCTTTGTCTATTTCCCAATTAAAGTATATATTTTCTTTTTAGTAGGAAAAATTCTAGCTACGTATGAAGAAAATACAAGAGATTTCCTGTTCCCTGACCCTAAGCTTACCTGTGGGCAGCATGGTTTAGATCGTGAGATTTTAATGAAGAGGTCCTCTTCTTTTACAGTGAGTGAATATCTGTGGATTGTATTTACGATACAGTGTGTTTCACTGAAGAAACCCCTTGAACTACTTCAAATGAAAAGCGATTACTTCTGACAGATTTTGCTATTTCAGGTGTTGAATGTACAAATCCACAGTTGAACTTTGGTGAAGGTATAATCTTTTTTCAAAATGCTGCAAGAAATTACTTAATGTGAAAAAGTTAGTTTCCACTTGGTTTGTAGTGTGGCACTGTGACATGTCTTCCATTCATTTTAATCTGTGGTGCAGTTGGTAGTTGAAGGGAAGCAAGAGAAGAGGGAGACGTCATATCAACTTCACAGTTCTCAACAGATAAACCATGTATCCCTCCCTCCTCAGTCTCTCTTTGTAGCATTTTGTTTCAGACCTTTTCTGGTACTGTTTAGGACAATGACAGTCATAGTGCTATGCCATCTGACCTGTGGGCCTCCCTGAGATATAAGATCACAACTGACATAGAAAGTAACTAAAATTTAGCTTAGTGCTGCATGGTTGTTTTTCAGTTCCAAAGCCTGTTTCTTAAGGTCTGTTCAGGCCATTCATGCTCATTTATTAACTTGCTTTTTCTACAGTTTCAAAAAAGCAATGATAAATGACAACTAATTGTCAGAATGAGTGCAATGAATTAATGTTAATTTTCTGGAGATAAGGGCTCAAGTACATAGTAAATGAAAGTTAATTTCTCTCATACTTCCCTTTCATAGAATTTGACTGCTGAATCTTAAGTGTCAGTGGAATAACTCAGGAAGGCACTTGGAAGATGATGGTGATGATGTGAGAGATGTGTTTTAGGGTTTGTTTTGTTTGACTTATTTTTGTTAGATTTTACTAGTGGAGTGGCAGGACATTTGGACTGGGAAGACGGGGACTCAGTTGCCCTGTCCATTGTGATTGGATTAAAAACACATGGCAGGAGGGAAATGCTGATTAAAGGTCATTGGTATCTTTTAGCTGGTATAATCTTTACCCTGCAAGGGCAACCTGGAAATTGCCCAGTCACTTGCAATTAGAAGTGCTAATTTGGTGTCTAATGCTGTGTTACATTTGAATGAATTAAAGCTGTGATTTTATGATACGAAATGTATGGTTCTGCAGCAGCTTAAACTGGCCCTGCAAAAATAGCTGTAATTTTTTGGCCATAGCATCTCTTTGGTATGGCTTATCCTATGCATGTTAGTGGTGGCTCAAGAGAGGGTGTGGGACTGTATTGCTTTCATATTACTTATAGAGTAGGTACTTTTCTGGTGTTGAGAAAGAATAGATAGGGAGGTAGTAATGAATGAGGTGGTATTAACAAAATTATTTCAGATTTTTTGTAAATGCAATATAATGAACCTTTGTAGAAGCAGAGCCTCTAGAGAAGTTTGAGGTTTTTTGTTGGACCAACTTCTTTAATACAAAAATTATGTATTTTCTAATAAAGAGAAGGTGCCATAATTTGTGAGAAGATGTGATCAGTCATTTGGATGTGTAGCTGAATGATGACACTGTAGTAGCTTTAAAAAGTTGACTGATGTAAGACAGAAATGTATTTCCATGGCCTTGGGAACAATGCAAATGAAATCCATCTCTGCCCTGGAATGAGGACTGCAGAAGCATCTGTTGCTCTGTTCCATCTCCATCGCAGACAGAACAGTTTGAGAAGGGATTTTGGCATACTGACCCCATTTCCAGGAATAATAAAGAAGCTGTGTTTGATGGAATTGGAGGGAGGGTCCCAACAAGAACTTGTGGTTCCTCTCCTTGGTTGCCAAATGGGATAGCTGTGAGAGGATTTTTACCTCCAGTAGAAATGCGGTCTCAAATGCCTCCATCTTCTAGTGTTCCTTAAGCTTTACTGGCAAGTATGTCCTGCTAACTCTGTCAGCACCAAGCACGGAATGTGAATGCTAAGCAAAAGGGAAAGTGTTAAACAAGGTCTTGAGAATCCTCACATTATTCCTATGCTAGTCAAGCCATGTTCTTCCCACATGAAAAGTTATTTATAGCTAGCTGAGATGTTGAATATTTTTGACTGACAGCTGTGCTTCAGTGACACTTTGATTCCCAATAAATTTGTCTTTTATTAAAAAAATAAAGGTAGCAACAGCAAGGTTACGGTTGTGGAGTTCAGATAGGCAGTGACAAGCAGTGTCTGATTAACACTGCTAATCTGCCAGTTGGAAGGAATCCCAAGTTGAGAGGATCAGAACTCCTCCAGAAATCTGGCAGTTGGCTGATAATGTCTTTGGCTAGGTGTCTTATGAGGCTTACAAACACAATACGTGTACAAGACGTGCCTCGAATTATCTCTCCTGGTCCAGTGTTGCCCAGCTGAGCCTTTTGCTGGCTCTTCTATATTTCTCTGCAACCCTTGCCTTTGAGAATTTGTTTAAGCCTTGACTGGTGGTGACTTCTTACAGACATTCTTATCTCCATTCCCCACCCTCATGCAGTATTTGCCATGTTACTTAAAACAGTTTGGTTTTAGTTATGCTGTCTTTCATTAGCATACCAATACAAGACCTTCTATTATATTCATATATACTTTTTTAAGCTACAGACTTGTACTCATGCTCCCTACAGTCAAAAGCACATATTAGACTTGTTTTCTAACTTGGGTTCTTCTAAATATGAACCACCTTTACAGTTTTTCTATGATCAAATTAATAGTATGTCCATATCACTTCTGTTTAATGACTGCTGCAGAAGGACTGACAAGCATGTTCAGGGCTGCAGACACCACAAAGCCGGAGGCAGAAGAATAGATCCCCAAAACTTTCTGGCTGGATTTTCATTTACAGATATGTTTGGGGCTATGTGGCAGTCTTTACACAATACCGTATTGAATATCCTTCAGCAATCCCTAGTTTGGGAACTGCAGAAAACAGAACTCGTCTGATTGCTTTTGGCCTATAAGTTACTTTTGACATATCCATGCCTATGTAGGCAAGTGCTATCCCATATTCCCTCTCCACAAACCATTTCTCTGAAGAAACCATGGTTTTGTGTGATCTTTTAGCTATGAGCATTTAACAATTCTGTAATCATTCTCAGTCTCTGTAAGAGCAGTAGGTGCTCTGTTTTTGCTTTTTATAGAAGACTTAATAATTCTGATGTGTCCTTTTTTTAAATTGTTGATAGCACTTGACAATTCATTAGTAGTACAAATGAGTTGATTAAAGACGGTCAGCTTTAAAATCTTTCTTATATGCCATAACTTGACTTGATTGAATCCTGGATTCTGTTAATTGCTATGACTGAGCTTTCTTGGCATTTTTGTCATTTCATTTCCATAATCTAGCCTGGGGCCAGGTCATATTCCCTTATGGGAAATCAATTTCTGTTTAGGCAGGTGGTAGAGAATAGTTTGGTTCCACAGTAGACTTCACTCACAAAGTTCCTGCTAATAGTTAAGAGTGTGGGGCAGAGCCACAAACAGAGCAGCTCCTTTTTGTTTCTCAGTGATTTTCTGTGTTCATGTGCACAAATGCCCATGCGCACAGATGTCTCAGAGAAGTGAACTCTGTCTGTGTTAAAAGAGAGGGTAGAAAGTTTTAAGGACACTTGATTCTCTCTTTGCTTCTACAGAGCTGTATAAGATGCACATAGATGATACCCACTTGTTTATAGCTTATGTGGCCTTTAGTTCTTTTATGCCTTTTTTTAATGGTGCTGTTTGGGGAAATAACACTTGTGTGTCATAATGTCTGCCATTTACACCCAGTAAATTTTGTATATGTTGGCCAATTCTAGCTAAATTTAACAGAAGTAGAGCTCTGAAAAGTATTATGTTTCTAGACACAGCTGAAGTAAAAGAAAAAAGTTTTTTGTGTTCAAAAAACGGGTAGATGTGGCACTTCGGGACATGGTTTAGTCTAGTCTACCCTTGATTGGCTTAGAGTAGACTTGGTAGTGTAGGTTAATGGTTGGACTGGATGATCTTAAAGGTCTTTTCCAACCTAAACGATTCTATGATTCTATGATTCTAAGATGAGGTGAACAGGAACTCTTAGCCATGTAAAGATGGAAGGGCCTGCTGGCTGTTAGTGCATGTGTGCTGGTTGACCGGGAGGCCCAGCTGGACCCCACTGTCTCCAAATTGGTCAAAGTAGGGCTGCCTCTTGCCAGCCACATGTGTAATAGGGGATTGAAAGGAAGTGGAACATGGTTATAGAACATGGGAGACAATCCACAGAAATCGGACTTTGCTGTAATGGTTACAGAATAAAGGGGATTCTTAATCATACTATTACAAACGAATAGTTATTTGCAGTGTAATTGACTAATTTTTAAAATGTTTTTACAGAAAAGATTGTACAATTGATGCTATTTATAAATAAGTTTCCAAAGTTAGCATTAATGAAACTTCTAGAACATGACTGGAATTTTTATTGATGCTATATAGCATGGCATGAAAAAATCTTTAAAAGTGCTTTTGACAAAGAAATGTATTGAAATAAAAGTCAGACCTTAATTGTTGTACGAAAGCAATATAATCATCTGTAATTGAATTGTCAGAAATGCAAATGTTAGCATCTTGACATTTACCATTGCTGTTCTGTCTTTTCTAATTATCTTTATTAAAGGCTGAAATTAACAAAGGAAATGGCTGAAAATTAGGAATGGTTTGTTACATTAGGTGACATTTACTTCTTTGATACCCTTTATCTTGAGTTGGAGCTTGATGTTCAATTATTGTCTCTCTTCTAGGGAATCGCACCAAAATTGAGATTTTCTACAAGTTCCCTTATTACAGAAAGACTGTTAAGCTCAGGAAGGAGTCACATACAGGTTAGCATAATTTAATTGTTTGCAATTTAATGTCTAGATTTAATATTGATAGCCTTGGTTCCAATTTTTGCATGTGCTGCTCACTTCAAACTTTTCTCATTCTTTTGTTGTGGTTAAAGCAGTTGTCATGGGTGCTTGACAACTTGATTAAATTTTTAATCAAGTATGAGTAAAGAGTGGGTTTGGTGCATGACAGTAAATGCTGAGAGTTCCTTGAATCTGAAACAATTATCAGCTGCTATGTTCTATGATCGGCTGAAGTGTCAATCCCTGGTGTATTTGTAGGTGGGAAGATGCCTTCTCACCATTTCTTACTGACACTTAAAATTAAGGTGGGACAATGAAAGCTAGGTGAAGTCAGAGAAGGTACATTATCAAACAAACCAATTAATTTAATTGTTTTCCATAACAATATCAGTAACAGTAAAGGAAATGAAGATTTCTATTGAAAAGGCTGTCACTAATATTAATCTGGAAATGCTGCTTCTGCAATGAATAAAGTTAAAGGTGAAGTAGCTGAAGAGACTGGGGGAAAAAAACCCTCTCTGATGTGTTTGTTCATTTAGTAGCACTCTTCTCTGGTCTCACGGATTGAAATTTTGGTTGGGTTTCCTGGCACAAGCTGTCACATAAAGTTACTCTTATGTCTTCCTTTTTTTGCTAGATTACTGAAAAATGGTGCAGCATCATTAAAATGGAATGGTTGTCAGGAAGGCTTCTGTGCAAGGAGGGTTAGGTGACTTTGACCCATTTGTGGCATTGCTAATTAGTTCACTGAGAAGTTTCTTCCAAATTTAGCAAAAGAAATATATTGAGACAGTTAAGTAAAGAATAAAAAAAAAAAAAAAAGAGGAAACTGTCATTGTCAGAAAACTAACTTCACTGAAGGTGACTTCAATAAGGGCAGTTTGATTTAAAATTAAAAATGTCCTTAAAAGTATTTAATATTATGAATGGCATATCAAATTTCTGTGTGTTGCAGTGAAGGTCTAGTTTCATGATTGGTGTAAGCCAAAAGCAGCACAGCCTACTTCTGGTGAAATTGAAATTAGTCTTAGAGAATTAGGTCTGGTTTTGTTTGGGCCACTTCCATACTCTGGCTCACTACCAGCTGCACAAGTGCTAAGTACAGGCATGAAATACAGTGGCATGAACAGTCTGTGTGATGCCAGATTCAAACTTCATTGATGCAAAACAAACACACAACTTCAGCCTCATTCATTGTTGAGTATAGAGGGAAAGGCTTGAAGGCAAGCTGAACTTCTTATTTCTGGTTTCCTCTGAACTGAAGTAGTGCATGCAACATTCAGATTTAACAGTAATGTCAACTTCCTCAAGCTTGAAAAAGAATTTCTAACAGGAAGAAAAGTCTTGCTATACCATTATTCTTGATCTTTTATAACATGTGAATTTGGGCCAAATTTGACCAAAAAGCCAAATTATCCATACTGCGGTATTCAAAGTTAAAACATGCTGCTGACTAAGTAGCCTGATAAGAGTTGTATAATCTAGAGTGCCTTGACCTATAAAGCTTGTAGAGTAATTGAATGCTCATCTAATGCCAGGAATTACAAAGGAATGATAATGTATTTTGAACAAATCTTCAGTGTTGGAAACTGTTTCCCAGAATTTTAAATCAGTCACTGAAGAAGTTAATAGTTATTTGGAGGGGATGTCAGTTCTCATTGTTAGGTAGGCTTTGCTGGTGACAACAACAGAAACTACAACAGCACCACCCCCATCCTGTGTTGTGGGAAGGGAGGTGGTGAGGTTGGTTGTTCCTCCACTTCACTTTATTCTGCTGTATATAGGTATTTTAAAAGCAATATTGGCTCAGAGATAGACTTTTAAGGCAATATTTGATAATGGTGTGATTTTTATAAATTTCAGCTACAAAATCCATGTTTCAGATGTCAAGTGCCAGTTTTACAAATAAACAGCTGCTTTGCCTCTTCTTTTGCAAAAGTATTCACATGATTTGAGAGGATCTTTGGAAGATGGTCTTTAAAGTTTTTGAGGGTTTTTTTTTGGGGGGGGAATGTGGTTTTGTTTTTTTTTTTTAACTAAACATAGCATTTTGATTATAACTGTTTAAAGAACTAGTAAATTCACCATGATCCAAGAAAATATAAAAATCAGAGAATGTAATTACACTTCTTGTGAGGCTTTAGGCAATTCTTAATGAATATAATTTAAACTATTAACAGGCTTCTATTTTAATTTATGTATTTTATTTTAAAGGATAAGAATTTTAAAAAGGTAAAAAAAGTTTAAACAGATGAAAAAATGCTTCAAATCTATGTATGTCCAATCCAGGTAAAGTTTGTGTTAAATGAACTTGTGACAAAAATCAATTTAATTTTTTAGTCTCTGTACACTAACTGTGTGAGAAAGCTAATTGGGTAAGTATGAGATGGTTAACATCTAACATGTAGTAATGTGTGTTTTAACCTCATTGTGGTTTCAGAGAAAATGGTAAATACATTGTTGTTTTTTAAATTGCTGTTTGATTATAGTTTTGTGAGGGGAATATCAGGTGACATGGTGTTTATTTCTGTTAAAATTATTAGTTCCCTGTTTGCATTATTTTCAGTGATCTTTGTTCTGCATGCTGTCAAACCAGATAATTTCTCTTTTTCACTTTAGGGTGATTTGAATTGGGTACATCACTCAACCCCAAATGAAAAATTACAAACAAAGTTACCAAAGAAAAATACTCTTTCACCTGAGAAAACCAGGCACAGCTTAGCAACAAAGAACTACGAGCAGCCTACAATAGCTTCTAAATCACGTTCTCCATCTCCATACACAAAAAGACGAATGTGTGAGCTATCAGAAGAAGCCAGGCAACGACTGGCCCATTTAAACCTTGGTCCTTATGAATTCAGAAGAGAAACTGATAAACCTCCATTTGTAGTTAGACGGGTTTGTATTCTCTCCAAAACGCTTCCAGCTGAAGCTCATATCAAATATTGTTCTTTCGCTAAATACTGCTCCGAAAATTCATTCAGCTCTTAGTTTAGATTAATAATTTTTCTCTCCTTAACAGTCTGTCACATAGTGATTTAAATGTAAAATTAAATAAAATAAAATTTCTTTTATCTGCGTTAGTAATAGACAAAGATCAAATTCTTTCATGAATATCTTGGTTAAATTCTCTGAGGCCCCATTTCTTTTCTTCCAGCGCACTAGACAGGATAATAGGTGTATAAATTCAGCTTGGAAGTAATTGATATTAGTATTAAAAATTCCTGAATAAGACTTTAAAG